AATAATAATAATAATAATAATAATAATAATAATATACAAATAATATAATACAATATTATTTTATTTTCTTATAATATATATATGATAATATATTTTTTAAAGTACAAAAATTTCCATTAAAATCTATTATGTTATTTATCAATCAGTCAGACTTTGCATCGCTGACCATTTTTCTTGTATTTTTCATCCACTTTCTTGTCCTTTCATGAGATTAATATCCAATAACATTCTGAAAAGTTGTTAAAAGATTTATTAAATCAATAATTAGTCTTATTCCATTTCGCTCATTACGATCAACGGAGCGCAGTTACTATTAACTTATCGTTATTAAATATTATTTACCTACCTAATACGTATTCTTTAAAGATAATCCATAAATTTTTCACAATTTTAAAACTTCACTTACACAAAAAAAATTTTTAGCACGAAAGATGTAGATTCGACTCTAGCAAATGCTTAAGAGCAACTGACGCGGCGAATGCTGACATTCGGAAATTTTGTGGAAAATATTTGAGATCTCTAAATTTTTCTTCTGCACTTTTCAATCCCCCATCTTTCTATCTTAATAAAACTATACGAAAAAAACAGGCACCGAAAAACTCATACAATAGACTCTTTTGTAACAAGAAACCAGTATAGTTGGTCATCCTAAGAAACCACATGTTAAACATATTTTCTAAAAAGCGAATATTCTTCCCTAAAGCATCTTTTATTTTTTCTTCAAAACGAAAATATTTACAAAATATAGTATATACATAACTAATTTTTGAAACTCATTCAATTTTACAATGAAATAAGTAAACATTTTTTGTTAATAAAAATGCACAAAAAGTATTTTTTTCCTAACTTTCATATTTTATTAATCCACAAATTTTATTTTGAAAAAACTATTGGATATATTATGTAATTTAATTAAATAATGTTAACATAATTATAAGTCTAAAGGCAATAAATATTCCGTAATAATTTATTTCTCTAAAAACTTAACTCGAGAAGCTTGGCTGACTTTTTTAGGATTCGGTGGAAAATATGTAAATAAAATTAAATCAAATAAAAGTAATTTTAATTAAATAAAAAGTTGTTGAAAATTAATTAATATTTTGTTGAATATGTTTTTCCCTAAAAAGTTAGTGAATATTCACCAATTTATAAAAAGTATTCCTTAAAATCTGGGGAATATTCATCAACTTTTTGGGGAAAATTATATTCATTAGAATTTTGTAAAATTTTCACCAAATTTTAAGAGATATTCACCAATTTTTTTGGGAAAAGTACTTTTCCCAAAAAATGTGTAATATTCATCATAAAAAGTTAGTGAATATTCCCCAAATTTTTTACAGTGTACAAATTGACCTAAATACAACTATTTAAAAAAATGATTGGATTCGCTAAGAATTTGATACTCGGGGGTTTTCGGGATCGCTGATTACGAATATGACGTCAGATTTTCAAAACTCAAAATGTTGGATCCAATATGGCGATCGACTTTTAAAAATCGATTCAATTTGCCTGAAACTCGTTACTCGAGGGGTTTTGGGGTCGCTGATTACGAATCTGTCCACAGATTTTTTTTATTTTGTCATCATATTCGCAATCAGGGACCCCGAAACCCCTGAGTAACAAATTTTAAACCAATCCAATCATTTTTTAAAACAGTTGTATTTACAAAAACTAAAAAGTGATTTTTGGAACTTATAGGGGAGAGTGGGGCAAGACGGGGTACCGGCCCTATTTAACAAACGAATTAACCAATCGCGATTATATTTTACATAATACTGCACCGAGACGATAGTTTCTTGTTTACAAAACCTAAAAGCCATAAGAACAAATCTTTTATCTGTTTTACTAAAAAAACTGTTTTCGACGATTTTCTTGGGAATTTTTCACTATTTTTAGGAGGTGTTTATTTATTTAAGAATAATAGTTAATGAACTATATAAAATTTTTTATAACTGGCAAGGGTTACAGAAGAAGGAAAGCATATGTTTTTTTCTTTGTTGAATCGTAAATTGTAGTAATTAATCATTTTATTCAATTTCGTAGGTGCGGGCAAGATGGGGTAGGGGAGAGTGGGGGAAGACGGGGTTCACAAATTAAGCAAAAAAAAGAGAAATAAGAGAAGTTAAGAAAACTACTAAAATCAAGACTGAATAAAATAAGAGTGACCAAAAAGAAAAAAGCTTGTCAGGTTAAATCATCAATTAGCGATGGTAAAGTGGAAAATACACCTTGTCTCTATTGTAATGGTTATTATTTATACTCAAATGAAGGCTGGGCTGCTTGTTCTGTCTTCGGCCAATGGGCTTTGTGCAGTTGTGCTGTTGTCGATGTCGAAGATGAAGATGCAACCTTTACTTGTAAAATTTGTCAACAGAAATAGGTTGCTTTTTTAGTACCGCGCCGGTGGGGGAAGATGGGGAGATTTGCAATTTTTTCCATATTATTAATTTTATGATTTTTTAAGAAACAGATGGCCTTTGTACGCCTTTATTACTAAAGACTGATTCCCAAAGATGGTTATTAAATATGTAAAATAATAAAATATATATTCGATAATTTTTGCTTTTTTGCGCTTTAAACCTTACGTACCCCATCTTGCCCCACTCTCCGCTACCCCCACATTTCTCAAAATCATGAACAAAATTATCTATAAAATATTTGTCTAAAAAATTTATAATAACGAAAAATCAGCAGTCTTCTGAATCAAAGCTTCCACATTAAGATACACTCCATTACAATTTTCACAAGAAACTTTGTAGATTACATTAGTTTTTTCAAATTTCGGAATTTTATCCTTAGGTGAAGGTAATAGGAAATTTTGAAATTTATTAGGGGTTGAAAAATTGACCGAGATTTTTAATGCTTTACATAAACAAATTATAGATTGTGCCATGTCAGGAATATATGGAATAACCAATGTTCTAAAAATATCATAATTTTTTTCCCGATAATTATTATTTTGCTTTTCTTGTATGTTTATAACATTGATTCTTCTTTCCATATTACATTTAATAAAACCATAAGGGTAATTATTCTTTATTAGTATTTGAAAGACAATATTTAAATTCTCTTTTTGATAGTGTGGTTCAGAATACTTAATTGCTTTGTCGGTAAGCGAAAAGACAATAGCTTTTTTTATATTTATGTGGTGATTTGAGTAATAGTTTAGACAACGGCCGGAAGCAATTGGTTTTTGATACCAATTTATTTCAATGAACCCCTTAGAAAAAGTTAATTTTAAATCTAAAAAATTTATTTCTTTGTTTTTTGATTCTTCTAGTGTAAACTGTAAAGAACCACCTATTTTATTAAAGTCACTCAAGATGTTGTTTATCTTCGATTTTTTGATACACAAAATGGTGTCATCGACATAGCGAAAATAAAAAAGGACTTGCAATGAGCTATTCTTTAGGATATTTTCTTCTATGTCCTGCATTACAATTTCAGCTATGGACGAGGATATTGGTGAGCCCATTGGTGTACCAAATTTTTGTTTGTAATAATTATAGTTGTATTGAAAATAGGCATTACTTGTACAAAAATCTACTGCTTGAAGGAACTGTGCACAATTTAATTTTGTAAAGTCTTTTAACGCATCCCATTTTTTCTTTATAAGATCAAGTACAATTGAGGGATCAATGTTCGAGAACATGGCAATTGCATCTAAGGAGACTAGTGTGTGTGTGTCGGGGATCGGGAAATGTTTAATTTGTTTAATTAATTCATCGCTGTTTTTTATAATGCGTTTAGATTTGCATGTTATTTTGTTAATTATTGATCCTAAAAATTGAGAAATGTTATAAAGTGGTGAGTTTATAAAAGAAGTGACTGGTCTAACAGGAAAATTTTCCTTATGAATTTTTATTAGACCATAGAATCTAGGTGGTAGACTATTTTTTCTTTCTAAAAATTTTTTAGTTTTATCATCAATCACCGATGCACACCACCAATCATCAACCATGTTGTTAAGGGTAGATTGGATGGAATTTGTGGGGTTTTTAACTTGGACATAGGTGTCGTTGTCACTTAGGAGTTGTTCGATTCTTTCGTTATAAAACTTTTTTTCAATTAACGTGACGTTTCCTTTATCGGATTTAGTAAAGAGCAGTTCTGGATTATTTTTAATGAATTTTTTTGTTTTTTCAATTTTGTAATCTAAATATTTATCATTAGGACTCCAAATGATTTTAGAAATGATATATTTTTTTATAGAGAAAGTTAAATTTGATCTTAAGTGATTTAGGTCCATTGGACTAATTCTCAAATTACCACATTCAATGTTAGTTAGTATATTTTTTAAAGGAAAATTAGATTTATTAATTATAGGGGGTGCAAAATTTCCACCCAAGGATAAAATGTCGAGTACATTGTTAGGAATAATTTTGTTTGTTAGGTTTTTCACAAAGCGATCGTCGTAAAACCCTGGAAGTGTCACTTGTTCCGATGTCAATTTTAACCGGGAACTTTCGTACTATCAAATCTCCATAATAATAAATTCTTATTTAAATTTATGTTTTCCATTATAATGCGGCAAGTCGTCTGCTATCTTTTTTTATGTCTTATGTTGGAAATGCCTATAATGCTAAGAATATTTTCCTATATTTCTTTTGTAGTCCTGATGAGCCATGTTGTATGGCGAAAATGCATTTGAGAATAAATATTAAATTTATACACTAAAAAACTACATCTTCTTGGACCAAAGGCCACAAAATTATCCACTTTATTATTTATAAAATTAAGGTCCTTTAAAAAAACTTCAATTGTTATTCTTTTTTATCAAATGATTTTAATATATTTTTTTAATTGTTTATTTTAATTCTACCAATTACCGATAAATGTTGCAAGTATTGTTTTAATATTTGTGTACGGAACCCGCCATTGCAGTGCGAGTACAACTCGCACTTGTCCAATTTTTTTCATTATCTACAAAAAATATAATTATTTAATCAAACATTTTAAAAAATTCCTTTATTAAAACGCAATAAAAAATGTATGTTTACCTTCACTTCCAATTATATTCTGTAATTTTTTATCTTTTTTCTTAAGCTCTGAGATTTTGTGAGATATATAATTTGAAACTTTTAGTTTCTCCATTTCGGCAAAATTGGCATCTTTTTTTGAAATGTTTTTAATCCAAAAGGAGGTAATGTCTATCATTGATAAAAAAAAAGTAAAGTTTACATTTCAAACAAAATTTTCAATAATTTTCTAAAAAGTTTTGATGGCAATTTTTCTTACCTCTAATTGCCATTATTTTAATAGAATCCAACTTTGAGGGTGGTTTTGCATTAGGAAACTTATTTTTAATTCTATTGGATAAGCCACCTGTCACTGTGCTTGCACGTAATGCCTCAATTCCAAATACTGTGATTGCAATTTCCTTAACAAATAAAGATGGTGTCATTCGGGACCTTCCTGCTATTGCATCATAACATGTCTTTTTAATCCAAATATTACGGCCCAAATGAATCTGTGAAAATGAATATTTTAAACATGTATTAATGTTTAATTTAAATATTTCTATTGAATTATCTTTCTACAAAGAAGGTCGCAATTAGTGATTGATTAGAGTTATGAAATATAACTTTCTTCAAAAACCAAATATGCTACTAAATTGTAATAATATTCTTACATATACATATAGTGACAAATGTGATAAAATATTTTTTAGTTTTATAAATTTTAAAAAGGCTTATTCCCTGATATAAACTTTAAATACTTTTTGGAGATTATAGGATATTAGTGTAAGAAATTATTTAATTACTTCAACTGTTACCTCTTCTCCTCGAATTGCACCGCTTTTATCTGCACATTCCTTTCCGCACTTGCGTTTGCTACTTCTGTTACTTCCGTAGTCAAATCTTGTAAATATGCTGTAAAAATTTTAAATTATTAGATTTTAAGTACAAGATAAATGCTATTTAAGCTATGGACAACTAACACTTACATTGTATATTTGAAAACTGCCCTATTACTTTCCTTTGTAACTCAACATTCAAAGAAAATAGAATATTTTTTTGATCCATTTCATCACGCAATTGACTTTTTAGCTTAGCATTCTCTAGCAACAATTTCTTAATCTGCTGTTCCTTCTCTTTTAATTTTAATTTTAATGCATTAACTGTTGAACCTTCAGATTGTACATCTTCTTTTGGAATTTGCTAGAAGTACATATAATAATTTGTGTTTATTATCATTATTATTCAATTTGACCTAATTCTAAGTACATATTCTATGTGTTTCATATAGACAAATGTAGAACTTACCTTTGATGTTTTCTTTACTTCATTTATTGGTGGTTTAGAAGTAGCTAGTTTAACCACGCGTACTACAGCCTTAGTCATATTATGCATTTCGGTTTCGGGCTTTGTCATATTTGAGGCCGACGTTTCACCTACTGATTTTAATTTTGACAGCTTTTGTAGCAAAATGTTTTCATTATCATTTTTATTCATCTGTAAATGTCACATTAAAGACAATGGTTGTAATCAAAATAATTTTTAAGGTAATAGCTGAATAAAAAAATAATTTTTGTATAGAAATGTTATGCCGTACAAAGGAAAACATTTTAAAGAAAAAATATATAAAAAACATGCTATATACCTTGCGTTTAAGGTTCTTCTTTTGATTCTCAAGGTCAGTTTCTGTATCAGAGGACGCAGACTCCAAACCTTTGTAATTAGGAATTACAATTCTCTTATTTTTTTAGCCACCATATAATTTGTAACACTTTCTTCAGTTCCTAAAAAGAAATTCTAATGGTAAATAACTTCTAGTATTACTTTCATATTTAGAATTGATCCTAACCTTTAAAACATAAAATTTTTTTAATAATTATATATTCTGCAAATTCAACGTAATCTACCTAAATCATTAACAAGGTTTGTCACAATCTTACTGCAATCATGATGTAAGCTTACGGCAATCTTGTTGAGAAATATTACTCGAAAAATGTTCTGTTTCTGTTTTCTTTCAAAGATTTGCCCCTATATGAGTTCAATATTTTCAAAAAAACGTAAATAATTTTATGTTAAATATGTGTTTTTCATTGTTTATAATCATTATAAACATTAATTTTTTGTTGTAAAAAAATATTCTCCAAGAGAATTTATGAGAATTTTTGTGCTTCTGTACGAAACATAGTTTCTATAGTAAAGTTTATCTTATTTGCGGATAATTCGTTGGTGTATCGCACTTTTGTCTGCTATTTTTAAATAATTAGTATTATATTTATATTAGTAGGATTAATAATGATTACTTTTAAAAAATATTAAATCTAAATTTATTAAATCATCTTAAAAACATTATTCATTTCATTCAAATTACTTTAAGTATTTTATACCAAATTTAACTTTTATTTTATACAACCCTACTGACAATCCCTGTATAAGATCTTGTACAAGAAAATGCACACGTTCAGCAGCTGAACTTGTACAAGAAAATATACATTTTCTTGTACAAGTTCAGCTGCTGGACGTGTGCATTTTCTTGTACAAGATCTTATACAGGGATTTTCAGTAGGGAATATTATTGAAATTATTGTTTTTTCAGTGAAAGGGAAACATAGGTTTTTTATTTACAAAAATATTAAGTTATTTATTTATTCTAACGAAATTTTATTGTTACGGAATTATTTATTTTATTTATTAATATTATGTAATGTTAATTATTTAATTAATTATTATCAATTTTAATTTATAAAATTTGTTTTTATTTTAAAACAGATAAGTGCGCGCATGCATTTAAATGCAGAGAAAATTCTCCTAAATTCTGCGGAAGGAGAATATTCTCGGTCATATTCTGGAGAATATAACCGGATTTTAAATTACCGAGAATTTTGCATCTCTAACGATAATATCATTTTGCTACTGGGTAAAAGCTTAGATGGTAAAAAGATTTTTTTTATTTTACTTCTAGAGTTAACTTTTAAAGATATTTTGAGCAATGTAAAGACAACAGTTAAACAGGGTGTCTACATTTGTTTAAAAAATTTTCGTCATTCTCCAAATAATTTTTCCAGGTTTATCATTTTTCATCTTAAATTTATCTGATTTTAACCTTAAATAAATTTACGGATGGCTACAAAAATTCACTTTTTTTATGAAAATACTCTTTTTTAAGTTTAATTGTGATTTTGACGAGAATTGTTTTTAGATTTTGAACGTTATTGAACTTTGCAAGAAGAATTTTATTAATTTTGAAAATAATTGAATTTTTGAAATCATTTGTAACTTCTCCAAAATTAAATTTTTAATAGGTTTTTAACTAAAAATTTCCTACAAATCCATTATTTTTAATAAAATTAATTAAATATATATTGACAAATTTAAGTAATTTCAAGATGAATTTGAATTATTAAAATTTTCCAAAAATCCAAGTTCATTAACATTTCTAATTAAATTTATTCAAAATTGAAATTTTAAAAAATTTCCAATTGAAACTTTTTGAAGTTTATCTTTTTATGGAAATAGTTGTAAGCGAAACTCTTTAAATGTTTGATGAATTTTGTAATATTTAAGTACAATTATTCATTAAATAATTTTTAAGTACCTATATAATTTTATGATATTTCTTCAAGAATTAAGTTATTTAAAATGAAATTGAGGAGCCGGGAAGAACTCGAAGAACGCGCGAACGTATTCTCTATAATATCAGTCAAGGAGCAGTGAGCGCCTCTGGGCCTGTCACTGCTACCCGACTGGTATTAGCGCATGCTTTCGAGCGTTCGTCGAATTCTTCACGGTTCCTCAATTACTTATTGTCAGAAATAGAAAAAATTGATGGTTTTGTATTAGAATGCGTTGTGATTTCATGGCAAAAAAGACACCAAAATTCAGAATTTTCTTATGAATTCTAAAAAGCAGGGTTGCCACAGGTCAGGGAAAAGTAATGGATTATTATATTAAAATTACTGGAAAAAATTAAATTTTTAGAATTAATAAGAAAATTCTGAATTTTTGTTTATTTTTTTTAAAAACTTTAATTTTAATTTTTAAAATTTTAATGCAATTATTTGAAAGAATTCAATTATCTCAATAAATATTAAACTTCTTTCCAAAAATTCAATTACATTCAAAAATGTTTAAAAAATTCTCGTCAACATTTTAATTATCTTTAAAAATAGCAAAATTCATTGTAAAATTCAATTATTTTCATAAATAACAATATTCATCACAAGAATTCAATTATTTTCAAAATTAATAAAATTCTTCTCAGAAATTCAATTATTTTCAAAGAGTCGAAAAAAATTGTCAACTTTTAAATTAATTATCTTTATAAATGAATAGCAAAATTCTTCGACAAAATTTAATTATTTTAAGGAATTTTGGTAAAATTCATTGCAAATTTGTATCCAAATCTTGGATAGAGAAATATTAGATTTTCGTGTTGAAAGAATTTGATAGGTATTCAATCAAAACTCATGGATAGAAAACTATAAGAATTTTAGACTCATAGAATTTGATAGAATTCGTATCCAAATCTTGGATAGAGAAATATTAGATTTTCATTTGGAAAGAATTTGATAGATATTCAATCAAAACTCATGGATAGAAAACTATAAGAATTTTAGACTCATAGAATTTGATAGAATTCGTATCCAAATCTTGGATAGAGAAATATTAGATTTTCATTTGGAAAGAATTTGATAGGTATTCAATCAAAACTCATGGATAGAAAACTATCAGAATTTTCGACTAATAGAATTTGATAGAATTTGTATCCAAATCTTGGATAGAGAAATATTAGATTTTCATTTGGAAAGAATTTGATAGATATTCAATCAAAACTCATGGATAGAAAACTATAAGAATTTTCGACTAATAGAATTTGATAGAATTTGTATGCAAATCTTGGATAGAGAAATATTAGATTTTCATTTGGAAAGAATTTGATAGATATTCAATCAAAACTCATGGATAGAAAACGATCAGAATTTTCGACTAATAGAATTTGACAGAATTTGTATCCAAATCTTGGATAGAGAAATATTATATTTTCATTTGAAAAGAATTTGATAGGTATTCAATCAAAACTCATGGATAGAAAATTATAAGATTTTTCGACCCATAGAATTTGATAGAATTCGTATCCAAACTCTTGATAGTAAAATATTGAATTTTAGTATATTATTAACTTTGATAGATAATACATCAAAACTTATGATAGAATGGATTTAATTTTCTACTTTGGATAGAAGTGGATTGGATTTTCAATATTTGATTAAATTGGATTCGAATTTCAACACGGAGAAAAATTTATTCGTACTGATTACAATAGTCTATATTACTGCTCGGATATGTGACCACTTTTTGTTATGATTACTATAGCTGTTGTAAGGAGTACAAACATGAAGGTATCCCTTACAACAGCTATAGTAATCGTTCCTACTAAATTCTTAACACATTACATAGTCTTCGTAATCATTCCAAAAAGTGGTCACATATCCGCGCTGTAATGTAGACTATTGTAATCATTAAAAATAATTTTTCTCCGTGAAGGAGTGAAGGAAGAAAATTCTATCAAATCCTATCCATTTTAATAATTTTTTTAAACAGGGCTCGTATACAAGCATCTATACACTTCTCATTACGGAAAAGGCTCGTATGAGAGATTTCTCATATTTCTCATACGAGCTACCGAGCTCGTATACGAACTCCGCGGTCCGTGTATCGAATTTTTTTTACTGGGAACAAGTTCCAAACAAATCTAATTAGTTTTAAGTAAAATTGTCCACCATATTGGATCCGCCATCCTGAATTTTGAAAATTGGACTTCAGATTCGTGATCAGCGGCCCCTAATACCCCCGAGTAACAAGTTTCAAGCTAATTTAAACACTTTTAAGAATTTCGTACTTTCGGGTGAAATTTTGCAAAAAAATTTGAATTTCAGACTCCATTTTTGAGCCGCCATTTTAATTTCTAATTCTCTCTATAGTCCTATATTGTAGCTTATATATTTTTGTCACGTTATTTGTCACATTTGGAATTATTTTTCTGATATTTCGTAGTACACGGAGAAAAATGGATAGTCAAATTTATTATCTAGATAATCATGGGTGATGATCTTGGATACTCAACTATAGGACAACCATCTAGATATTCAAATTTAGTATCTTGGGATAATCAAACTTACATAATAACTGCCATTATCCAAGATGTTCACATTTGACTATCCTAGATAATAAACGCAAGTTGCTGTGTTTATACCCACACATCTAAATTGATCAATAAGAAATATTTAATGATAAAAGTTAATTTTTTTAGAAATTAGTGAACATTTTTCCTAGGTAAACAATTGTTTATGGAAAATCTGAAAATTTTAAAGAACAAAATACATTAATTTAACGATACCCTTGAAATTTTTAAATTCTTTTGACAGGTTTAAATGTTATGTTGCTAATTGTAAGTTTTATATATTTTTTAAAAATATTTTTTAAGCAATATTATATCTGAAATTCAGTATAAAAAACTTGACAATGCTTTTAAATTTCGAGTAATATAAAACTCTTTAACGGTGTTCGATGGCCTCTTAAATTTCTCGATAATGTGCGACCAACAGTTATCACCCAACAAATACGGCACTGACCGTAATAAGGCTATTCAAGTTGGGTGGGGGAAAATTCAAGATGGATGCTAACTGGTGCACAAACATTGTATAGAAAGTGTATGGGATAGAGTCTAATTTTTTAAATA